GTGCCCGGGAGGGGGCTGCCCGTCACCTCCACCGCCGCCCCGGCCTGCGCAGCAGTGGGAGCTGGGGACCAGGGTCTCCCTGGAAGCGGTGTCCCGCCCAGAGTCAGCGCAGGGAGCTCGGCCTGCAAGCCCCGCTCTGGGCCGCGCCAGCCCCGAGGGCCTGCCCGCCAGCCTCGGCCCCTGCTTGGCCGGGGCGCTCTGAGGGCCTGCCCGCCAGCCTCGGCCTCTGCTGTGCAGTGCGCGCGGCCCGGCCCGGCCCCACGGGGGTCTCTCTCAGCGGGCCGAACCCGGCTCTTCGGAAAACCTCTCCCGCCACGGAACCGCCTTCTCTTTTCAAGCATGTGTTTCACTGAAGCAGCTGCGGGCCGGAACTCAGTCCTCGCAAGAACTGGTAACCCTACCGCCTGGTCCGGGAGACTTGTTAGTGCGTGTGGAACACGCCGGGTCCCGTGTAATTACAGGGGCGGTCAGGTAAAACAGGGTGCCCGCGCCCACTGGGATTCCAGGTCCATCACTACGAACACGCTCCAAATGTTACAAGACTTACTTTAAAAAAAAAAATGTATCTGGGGACCAGTTAGCGTAATGGCTATGTCGCTGGACTCCCATGTAGTCGACAACGGTTCGCGTCCCGGACCCGGTGGCTTAAAACTGATGCCGGGTGCGTGTGCGTGCGTGCCCAAGATCCCGACAGGAGAATGGAGGAGAAGGGATTGCAGCGTGGCCATTCCCCCTGGGGATTGATTTCTTGCTTTCTGTCTGTCTCTGTCTGTCTGGCGAGCACACGCGCCCTATCGCAAAAACCTCCCTCCCACCCAAAATAACCATGTATCTGTAGGGACAAGCAGTTGGCATAGTGGCTGTGTTGCTGGACTCCCCCTGTTGGAGTCCTGGAGCCAGTGGCTTAAACTCACACCGGGCGCATGTGCGTGTGTGCCTGAGGTTCCAAGAGGAGAGTGGAGGAGAAGGAATTGCAGCATGGCCACCCCACCCTCCACCCCCAGGGAGTGATTTCTCACTTTCTGTTTCTCTGTGTCTCTCTCCCAGCACACACCTCCTATAGCAAAAATCTCTCTTAAAAAAAAAAAAAGATGGGTCCAGCCTCTGGGCATGAGTCCTCATCACTCCTTCCCCCGCCCCAGGCTTGTCTCTAGGCTTGCCTGCCTGGACTCTGAATCCATGGATCCCATTGGCTGCCCTGAGCCCTCCTGTGCCTGCTCCGCCTGGCTCCGGGGTCCTGCCTCCCACAGCCTGCTGGCCAGCACCTGCTGCACCACTTCTGTCTCTGCAGTCTGTCCTGCTTATCTGAGCCTGCACCCCCAGGCCCTCCTCGTCACACCTGTGTCAGGTTCCCTACTGTGGCTCTGCCTTCCCACCAGCGCTCGGCTCACCTCTGGCCAAGGCCTTACTTTAAAGCAGGTGCTGTGGTAGGCACTTAACCCCACACCTGCCCGCACGGGTCCTCCAGCTGGGGTGTGCGACGCGAGAGCACAGAACGGCGCAGAAA